AATCGAATTATGCACCAACAGTACGTTGCATGCAAATGGCTTGTTTGAACGCCCAGCTCTATCTGCATAATGGACAACGTCCAGGGACTGTATTCCATCCATATGCGTACCCCAGCTGTACTCTTTCTAGACGTAGGAATCTTTTCTAGATTCTAGACTAGATTCAGATAGGTATCCAAATATTCAAAGTTTCAAACCTCTCTATCTCTAACATAGATTGCCAGCCAGCCGGAGCTATATATATGCTCTCCACGATACCACCATCCATCCGCCCATCATCCTCTCCAGCCCGTCCCTTCCCCTCACGCACACGATGGCGCTCTCCAAGCACACCGTCGCCGTGCTCTTTGCCCTGCTGGCCCTCGCGGCGACGCTGCAGCCGTCAGACGCGAGGCTCCGGTCCGCCACCGCAAACCAAGAAGAAGCCAAAGCCACCACCATGGCCGATGGAGGCTCCCCATCTCTTCCCAGCCTCCCACTGCCTCAGATCCCCGGTATGCCCAGCCTACCACCGATATTCCGCTCCCTTTTCCCGCCGCTGCCCCAGATCCCGGGCCTGCCTCCGCTCTTTGGGCCGCTCCCAGGTGCACCGCCATCCCAAGGGCTGCCTCAGATCCCCGGCATGCCACACATCCCACTTCCCACTCCTTCGCCAAGCCCGCCGCCGCCGAAGGAGTGCCTGACGCCGTTGACGGCCATGATACCGTGCATGGACTACCTCACCAACATCACCGTGTTCTCGCCGCCGGGTGCGTGCTGCGATGGACTCAAGTCGGTCGTCAGCAGCGCGCCGATCTGCCTGTGCCACGGCCTGAACAACAATGGCGGCATGAGCAAGCTGTTCCCCAAGCCCATCGATCCCATCCGGATGCTCATCCTCCCGGCTAGGTGCGGCGCCATGATACCCTTCCAGACGATCTTCTCGTGTGGCAGTAAGTTGCACCAACCCCTGCTGTCTTGCCTGTTTTTTTGTTTTCTTATATATTCTTCTTTGAAGGAGATTGATTAACTTGTGATGGTCTGACAGCCCAACCATTGCCGCCGCTGACGCCTCCAGCTATGTCTCCGGCGCCTCCTGCTGCTGCTTCTCCCGCGCCATCACCATCACCTTAAGGTGATCTTGATTTCTCATATATGCGTTGAACAATAGCCTTAAATTATTTCTGTAGTATTATGTTTAGCCTCTAGCATTATTTTTGACTTGGCGTTTTTGTGTTGCAGAATCACCCTAGCTAAAGTGGCAAAAGGATGGATGCATGGATCGAAGATGGTTTCGTCAGGATTAGATTATCTGGATATATAGAGTCAAATTATCGTTCTAGTTGGTTTCGTTTAGGTACCAAGAAAAATATCGATCAGCTAGGCTGGCGTTTAGGGGTTCAGAGCGTACTTCATACGTAGTTCCTAGTGCTACTCAGTTACGTACATTATTAGTAGAGTTATCAATCATGTAATCGCTATTGGGTAATATTATAAACTAGTAGATGCATATTGGAATGGTCGTGTTGATGGAACAGGATATGTCAGCAGCACAAACACCAAGTCACGGCAAAGAAGGCAGAAGCAGAGCATTTTCAGAAAGAACAGAGCAAAGCGGAGGAGGGAGAACCTTCAGAAAGAAAGAACAGAGCAAAGCAGAGGAGGGAGCAACTTCAGAAAGTACAGAAGCAGAGAAGGAGCACATTCAGCAAGAACAGAGCAACGCTCAAGTCGCGCATAAAAGACGATACAAAATTTTTCCGTCGGTCAGACAGATACATGTCTTTCGTGATGCAGGGCACAACGAAATATTGGGAGATGCACTCATAATCTATCACCATTATACCTGCAGAACAATGGCACATGTTAGATAATAATGAGATAAACAAGACACGAGAGCACACAGATTTTTATGTAGAAACCCTTGCGGGAGAAAATCATGGACGCACGAAGGCGCAATCACTATGAGGAGGAGTATTACAGGCACGAGACGACAGGCCGTCTGAGGTGCGACTACATGGGGTATATATGAGGGGCAACACATAGGAGTCCTTGTAGGACAAGTAGACGAGTTGTACTCGTACGCGTCGGTACCAACGCAAAAGGCCCACACCGTATGTACTACGTCTAGTCCAATACGATACTAGAATTTGGATCACAATTTAACAATGTCCACCTTGATCCAAATTTCCTCCAGTAGTCGAAGAAAGTGAATAACTCCATCCAAATAATCATAAACACCTTGTGCGTCAAAGTCCATAGGACGAGTGAGAAATACCAACTAAGCCTGAGCAAAGCTCAAACTTATTGGTCGGAACTGGCTTTGTCATCATATCAGCTGGATTATCATGAGTACTTATCTTGCATACCTTCAAATCGCTTTCAGCAACAACATCTCGAATATAATGAAATCTGACATCAATGTGCTTTGTTCTCTCATGATACATTGGATTCTTTGTAAGATATATAGCACTTTGACTGTCACTAAATACGGTAGGGCAAGATGAGTCTCCACAAAGCTCAGTGTATAAACCTCTCAACCAGATAGCTTCTTTGCATGCCTCAGAAATAGCCATATACTCGGCATCAGTAGTGGAACATGCCACAATGGACTGCAAAGTTGCTCTCCAACTCACAACACAACCACCAATGGTAAAAACATAACCTGTGAGTGATCTTCTCTTATCCAAATCACCAGCAAAATCAGAATCAACAAAACCAACAAGTCCATCTCTAGTTTTCCCAAACTGTAAATAAGCATTAGAAGTACCACGCAGGTATCTGAAAATCCACTGAACTGCTTTCCAATGTTCCTTTACAGGATTAGCCATGTATCTACTGACAACACTCAATGCATATGATAAATCCGGACGAGAACAAACCATGGCATACATAAGTGAACCAACTGCACTTGAATAGGGAACTCTAGACATGTACTGAATATCAGCATCTGACTTAGGACATAAAGCTGATGATAATTTGAAGTGTGCAGCTAACGGAGTACTTACTGGCTTGGCATTATGCATATTAAAACGACGAAGAACTTTATCAATATATCCTCTCTGACTTAGATATACTTTTTCAGATGGTCTATCTCTAGATATTTCCATGCCAAGTATTTTCTTTGCTGCACCCAAATCCTTCATCTCAAATTCATTACTCAATTGCTTCTTTAGTTCATTAATATCTGACATACTCTTTGTAGCAATAAGCATATCATCAACATAAATGAGCAAATAAATAGTTGAACCTTTGACAGTTTTCAAATAAATACAACTATCATAATTAGACCTTTTGAAACCTTGAGAGAGCATAAAGGTGTCGAATCTCTTGTACCATTGTCTCGGGGATTGCTTCAATCCATAAAGAGATTTCTTTAACTTACAGACAAGCTTTTCTTTTCCAGGAATAACAAAACCTTCAGGTTGTTCCATATAAATATCCTCTTCTAATTCTCCATGTAAAAATGCAGTTTTAACATCCAATTGTTCAAGCTCAAGATCATGCATGGCAACAATACTCAGTAAAGTGCGAATAGAGCTATGCTTCACAACAGGAGAAAAGACTTCATTATAGTCAATACCTGGAATCTGACTGTAACCTTTAGCAACTAACCTTGCTTTATATCTTGTCTCATCATTAGGATAAACACCTTCTTTCCTCTTGAAAACCCACTTGCAACGAATAGGTTTCTTCTCTCTAGGTAATCTCACTAAATCCCAAGTGCCATTCTTTTCAAGTGATTCCATCTCATCATGCATAGCGGTCATGCACTTATTACTATCACCAGAAATAATAGCCTCGGAATATGAAGAAGGTTCAACATTACCTTCAATTTCTTCTGCAACAGATAAAGCAAAAGAAACAATATTGCACTCTTCAATTAACCTGTCAGGTTTATTAATGCCCCGTCTAACTCTGTCACGTGCAAGATTCCAACTGGGTGGAACAATAGGCTGATTTGGAGTGGGAGTGACATGATCATCATTAACGACGGGTTCATCATGTGCATCAACAATTTCATTACAAGATGTATCACCTGAATCAATAACATGCTCCACATGAACAGTAGGCTCCTGAACAATAGGCTGTTGTTCACTCTCAACGGGAACATTAGTAGATGAAACATCATGTAACATAGCAGATTCATCAAAGATAACATTTCTGCTAATAACAACCTTCTGGGTTTCAGGATTCCATAATTTAAAACCTTTAACACCAGACTTATAACCAAGAAAGATGCACTTAACAGCCCTAGGCTCCAATTTTCCATTATCAACATGAGCATAAGCAGTGCAACCAAAAACTCTCAACTGTGAATAATCACCAGATGAACCAGACCATACCTCAATTGGAGTTTTCTTATTAAGAGAAATAGATGGTGAACGGTTAATGAGATAATAAGCAGTGGAAGCGGCCTCAGCCAAAAAACGCCTATGCAAACTTGCATTGGACAACATGCAACGGGCTCTGGAAATAATGGTCCTGTTCATACGCTCAACAACACCGTTTTGTTGAGGAGTATAAGGAACGGTGTAATGTCTGACAATGCCTTCAGACTTGCAATAATTCTTAAATTGCTTAGAACAGAATTCCATACCATTATCAGTGCGAAGTATTTTACCTTCTTTTCAGTTTGTCTTTCAATCATAATCTTCCACTCCTTAAATGCCGAGAATGCTTCATATTTATGCTTCAAGAAATAAGGCCATACTTTTCTCGAATAATCATCAATAATAGTCAGCATGTAACTAGCACCACCTAGTGACTTCTTGCGAGATGGTCCCCATAAATCAGAATGCACATAATCAAGAATACCTTCGGTTGTATGAGTCGAAGTATTGAACTTCACCCTCTTGTGCTTGCCGAAGATACAATGCTCACAAAATTTCAATTTACCAGGTTCATATCCATCAAGAAGACATCTCTTATTTAACTCTGCTAAACCAAGTTCACTCATATGTCCAAGACGCATATGCCAAAGGTTAGCAGCATCACAATCAGAATTCCTTGAAATAACTAGAGTAGCGTTACCTGAAACGGTATAACCTCGAAGGTAATAAAGACCATTGGTTGAACTTAAGTCACCTTTCATCACAACAAGAGAACCTTTGGTGACCTTCAAAACACTATCTCCACCTAAATATTTGTACCCTTTTGCATCAAGGGCACTCATAGAAATAAGATTTCTCTTCATCTTCGGAATATACCGAACATCTGTCAAAGTTCTGATTATGCCATCAAACATCTTGATTCGAATAGAACCTATGTCTTCAATCTTGCATGGTGAATTATCAAAACCCAAAACGGAACCAGCAGAAGTAGTGGAATCAAAAGTATTAAACCAATCTCTATGTGGACACATATGAAAAGTGCATGCGGTGTCAAGTACCCACTCATCATTGGTCTCAGCACATCCAGCAATAACGACAAGAGCATCATCGAAACTATCATCACGAGCAACGTTAGCAGAATTTTCACCTTGTTTCTTACCTTTTCTCTTTTCCTTGTTCTGCAACTTGAAACACTCACAGATGTCATGCCCGTCTCTCTTACAATACCTGCAATATTTCTTGTCTCTGGATTGCGACCGGCCCCTGTAGCCGTTCTTACTTTTGCCTCTGTTTCCATTATGTGAGTTCTTCTCCTTTGTCCTGCCACGAACAGATAATCCCTCGGCTTGGGATGAACTTGAACCATCATGAGGCACCATTAGTTTCATCTTCTCCTTAGAGTTCAAAGCTTCATAAACTTCATTAAGTGTGAGAGTATCACGACTGTATAATATGGTGTCTCTAAAATTGGTATAAGAACTTGGCAGTGAACAAAGTAACATTAAAGCAGTATCTTCCTCTTCATACTTAACCTTCATTGCAGCTAGATTAGATATGATCTCTTTAAATTCCGAAATATGATTCAAAACATTACCTCCCTCGGGTAACTTGTGCAGGAATAATTTTTGCTTCAGATGCATCTTGCTGGTGAGATCTTTAGTCATGCAAAATCCCTTCCAGCTTTAACCATAGAGCGGCGGCAGTTTTCTCGCTCAAAACTTCCTGCAAAATATTATTATGCAAATGGAGTTGAATTTGTGACAAAACCTTACAATCAATTCTTTTCTCCTCAGCAGTCCA